TATAATTTCATATAATTTTGATCTGTGGGTCTATAGCACAGTAGTTAGTACTCTACAGGTCAGATCACAAGATAATGGTTCAAATTCTCTAGACGACTAATATGGAAACCTCAAACCAGAAGAAAAGGATTGGTATCTTCTGATCGCCATTACAAGATATCAAGTTCAATTCCAGGTGAAGGCAATTGGACAATCTCAAAACAATATCTGGTACTATAACCTAACATGTGCTGTTTCCTATAAGAAGCCAATCCACATGTTGATCCAACGGACATTAAGATTGTGATATTAAGAAAGACATAGTGATGTAATGATCATTCAGTAGTATTACAATGATCATTGTCAAATTTGGTGCTTTCCTTTGTTTCTTATATATGGAGCACACTTCCTTACTCTTTAGTCTATGAGACTATAAAAGAAACAATCCTGAATTTTCAAAAGACCAAGCTAGAGCCACAAAGACTTCTTGTTGGATATGGCTATTTCACAGCTGATCGTATTAGAATATGGTTCTTTAAGTTTCTATTCATCAGATGGTGGGTAAAACTGGAAGGTGTATATCCTGATACATTAATACTCTATTTATGCTATCAGGATTCTAGTGTTGATAATATAGAAAGAATAGAGGGCAATAAGCCAACTGGTGGGTAAGTTATAAGAACTTTTTTTAGGTAGTTTCATTAAGTAGATAGGTAGTAATCAGTTTTTATAAAGGGAATATACATGTACCGTAAATTCTTCTAATAAAACAAGATGTACGCCAGTCATTGAAAAAAAAAATTTTTCATATAATTTTTTTTCTTTAATAATATTTTTGTTCAAGTTTAAATATTAAGAAGTTAATAAATTAAAAACCTTAATAATTATTTAAATAAAAATAGTATAAAAAGATTTTGTAACTTTATTAAATTATAAATTATAAATTATAAATTATAAATAAAAAATAATTTTTTAATTTTGTATAAAAAAATATCAAATATAAATATTACATTGATGTTATAAGATAATAATTATAATTTTATTTAAAAAGATTAAACAAAGTTCTTAATTCTATATATAAATAAATATTTTAATATAATAAAAATTCTAAATATTCAAAATAACATTAATTAAAAAATTATAACAAAAAATTTAATTAATATATGATTTTTTAAAATTTAAATCAAAATAATATTAATTAAAAAATTATAATGTAACTTAAAGTTTTAATTTTATAATTATATTTTTGCATTAAAATTGTACAACATTATAAAAAATCATTAAATTAACTATAAATAAAAATCAATTATTATTATTTTTTATTATCATTATAAATAAGTTTATTTTAAAATAAACTTATTATTTTAAATATTTTTAAACATAAAAACAAATAATAACTACTTTATAATTTTTTTTGTATGATAATAAAAAAAAATTAAATTTGAAAATAATAAATAATATATAACATCATGTATAATTCTATTAATGTCAAAAAAAATATCATCATTATTTTAAGATATCAATAAGTTTATTTTTTAATTATTAGTAATATTAACTCAATAAAAAATTTTCATAATATAATATAATTTTTTACAAATGAAAAAAAAAGTGACATTTTTTTTTGCCACTACTGTATATTCAAGTTGTTTATTTTTGATTTCGCAAAATTAATTGAAAATCCAACCTCATTGATAATAACTATAATATCAAATACACACAGTATAATAAAATAATTATAATAAATAATTACTGTGTAATAATCGTATTGTTAAAGATATTGTTAAAATGACAAATACTGCGTACGCGTTTATTAAGGTATTTGGGAAACCCAAAATTTACTTCGGACTTGGTAATTTCCAAAAAAAAAAACCCCCATATTTAGTTTATTTATTTTTTGGCAAACCAACTTATCAATGATATATAAAGATTTGTTTTAATTATAACATTAAGTTACAATAAAATAATTGGTAATAATTGGTAATACTGTAGTTGAAATTAATCCGGACACCGCTAATGAGATTTAGCATAGAATAATTATTTACAAATAAAATTTTTTCTGAAACGAATTTAGCGTAATATAAGTAACAATACCGTATTTATCTATCTAAAACAAAAGGTTTTTTCTTATCAATTCAGCTTTTTTTTTAATTTTTAATTAATTAATTTATTTATTATTATTATTATTACGGCAAAATCGGTCACCAAGATGTTTTTATTCGCAATAAATACGATTAACCGTACCACTGCTACATAATGATCGAGAACTGGGTGGCTGAGTTTTAATTGGAATTATTGATTGTATAAAAAAAAAAAAAAAATTCTCTATGTAGGTTTATATAGTCAATAGATTTTTTTAGATTAATCTAACAAATTAAATAAATATAATATATGCCAACATGCAACGTATATTATAAAAAAAAAAAAATGAAAATGAATTGAGAATTGAAAAAAGAATGAGGATCGAAAAAAAGAATCAAAGTGTGCTTATGATTAGAATATAAAAAATAAACGACTTGTATGAATTTGGTTTAAGTTCTGTCTAATAAAAAAAAAAAAAAGAAATTTTTTATGTTGATAAGACGCCGTTACCATAAATATTTTGTTCTGGAATTCTGAACGTTTCTATGGCAAATCCTTTTTCTTTGTTCGTTTTTATACACCATGAGCGATAATGAGTAATCAAATCATTAATGAAACCAATTGTTCTAATTTCTCACATCCCTTATCAACCGCGACTGCTGTGCTTTCACAATTTGGCGGTGTTTAGGTCCCACATCCCGAAGAGACGTGGGACAATATGTATCACGTGACTATACCGCGCCTTTTACCATCAAACATTTAAAATTTTCACATTGACTACCCATTATTGTATTTATTGAATTTTCTTATTTAAATAAATTTTTTTGGAGTAACCTTTATCATGCAAAATATTTTATTGATAAAGAAAATATCTTATGCCATTCTATTTTTACACACATATATTTTTATTTTACGTGTTGATAATTGATTTTTTAAAGTAAATCGAATGGACAAATGATACTAATAGACGGTTGCATTATTGATAGCAAGGATGATGATTTGTTCATGTGAAATTTTTGTGGATAAATTTGAAATGGTTTTAGACTGGTCCCGGGTAGACTTCATAGATTTATTTGATAAATCAATCTGACTGGAGAATATTCGGAAACGTTTGTTTGTTACAGAAGAAAGAAAAGTAAAAAAAAGTAAAAAGTTATACAATACAATCGAATCTTAACGAACGACCAATTATATATGTATTGTTGGTTTCAATAGTCAATGATAGAAATCTTTTGCACTGACTTTTTTGTTTGCTTTAAATATTGAAAATAACAACTTTTTTTTAACAAGGAAATTCGGTAAACAAATTCCACCAGATTTCAAGTTTATTTCTTCCACCACCCTTATTCAAACTTGCATTATTCTGGTCGTATTTTAATACAAGAAACTCTGAAAGACAGCCCATGATGACATAATAATCGACGATTATAAATGACTCCAATTGCAAAGACAATGCGATGTTTCCTAACTGGGAATATGCTTTATATTTGTTTCTATTTAAGGTGATGTGAAATTTCTGTTGTACAATAATTGTGTCCCACGTGTAAACATTAATGAATCTTCCTTGTATAAATAAGATTAACAGAAATTCCCCATGATTATTGTTCACCCTAAAAGGAGATGAAAGATAGACGCCAAGGGTATTATCGTATTTTTTGAAGTATCTCCGGAAACTCCGATTGTAATAAGGATTATGTTGTTTGACGTTGAAAAAAAAAAAAAAGAAATTCAAATTACAACATCACGAGTATTATTTATTAATAAAAAAACAAGTTTAGTAAAAAAGTTATCATGGATGGAATGATGCCATTCGCGAATGTGAGAAACAAGGAAATTGAACAAAGAAAATCAGGGTAACCGTGCATTTGTGATTGCTAGGAGACAGGGATATTACATGTAAACATTCTAAAGGTACAGATTGAACATTTGTTGCAATTAAAACAATGCATTGCTTGTTAAATTAATTTAATCAAACCTTTTTGGCGTCCATATACAACTCTCAATCTAATAAATCGATGATTTTCGCGTTGTACTTTGAATAACAAACGCGAACTTATCATTGGCGAGAAGAGGCGCACAATGTTGTAAATATTGAAGTACGCCTCCATCTTTTGCGTCGATAGCGCATGAACGTTACGGATGTTTTTTGCAAAAAGGAGTATCAAGTGAAAAAAAACATGCAGTACGTATCATAGCGTAATTATAAATTCTGAATTGTTTGTGTACTTAAAACTCAAGTGATATTACAGATAGGGAGTATCTTGGGGAAATAAACACATGAAAAAAGAGTTATTGTTGTTATTTTCACACTTAATTTGTGGTTCACTTGAATCTCAAACCTGATTACACAACATCAAACTTTTTTCTGCATCAAAAATAATTACACTTTGCATTTCTTTACTGAGATTATCGGACTCATATTCCGATAAAACGATCCTGTAAGATGGTGATTTTTCGATTGCACTCTCACAAGTCGGATCATGCCTATTTTTATTTTGTCACGCGGAAATTAGCGAGATTTTTTTAATTCCTGTTTGCTTTGTATTTATCACAGTTTAAAACTTTCTTGTTGTCAAAAAATTTGCTTGTTTGCTTAAGTACAAGATTAAAGAATGTCTACGAGGAATCAATGCATCGTGAGATTGATTGAGAAGACGTCAATCTTGTTCTTTTCTTCGAAATCCGAAAAGATCTTCCTTCTTATATATTATTAGCGTACGTAACAAGTGGAGAATGTATTCATGGAAGATTGCGTCTCTTACGCGATTTGGTTGATTCTTACTGGTGTAGATTATTTTTAGATTAGAGTTGATATTCGGTTACTCGGTCATCGCACAAGGTCAAAACTTGGCCACCGCATGATTCGCATGACTTGATCACAAGCCACGGCATGGAATCTGCACGAGCCATTTTGCATCATTTCATGCCACTGGTGCAATTGATTATTCCATTGCCACTGTTTCTTGGATTATTCCACTAGCCATTGTCGCCACTGTTTCAGCCACTGTTTCAGCCATTGTCGTCATTTCTGCCACTGTACAAAGATTTTTCCATGCCACCATTGCCACTGTTCGCAAAGAATGTTCTATCTAAACCGCATTGTGAGACAATGATTACCGTATGAGGTATCTTCAGCCATTGTGCGGCATTGCATGTTTCGACAACCTTTGTGGTTCCGGAAAGGTGTAGTGTTACTAAATAGGAGCTTTAAGGATATTTGCAAGCCAGTTCATTTTTAATGCCCATCGCATGCATTGTAAAAATTACTTACATGAAAGTATTGCATTCGTTTTCCGAAAGCTTGAACCTCTAACCATTTTATGAATTTACATGTAACAGTCAAAAAGTTTTACTCCCGATAACACCATCGTCAGATGTCACGCTTCAGCCCAAAGAGTTAATTATCACTTTGGAATATTAAAGGCATCCATTCTCCATCGGGGTTTAGGTGATATGGATGTTAGACTTTGTCACACGAGATGACTGCATACATGCGGTTGATCGTCGCATCACATGAACCTGCGTAAAGGTAACTAACTCTCATTCAAATGGAAGAAGATAATTTTTGTTTATTTTTGTTTTAGGATAATATTAAATTTATTTTTATTTTTTCAAATTCTTTAATGAGCATACATGCATTTTTTTTTTAAAATACATGGACATTCTGGGAAGAGATAATATTTGTTTAAAACCGGATGGAACGAATTGGGTGTGTACACAATAGGTTTTGGAATGCTTTTTTTTAGATACGATGGAATTCTGACAATTAAGTATGGAATGCAATGTCACCTAAATACTCTTCGGGAAGTGAGCTGAATTCAAATACGAGGCTAAAGGTGATGGACGGATTAATACATCTTTTTAAAGTAGTTGGTTTTACAAAAAAAAAAAAAGAAAAAAATTTTTTGCATGCATTTGTGATCTGTGATCTGTATGATGTATTGTATTCGGAGATCATTCGGATGGCGCGGACAGAAATTACCAAATTCGTCTCCGAAACTTCAGGATTTCCTTATTTGTAGAAAACATGGATCTCATTTGTTTGTCATTTTTAAGTCTTGACAATATACGTGTCCTTTTCTAAATTTTTGGGAACACTCAGAATTCCTTGTTTCTTGATTACCAAAATGCGTAAAATCTAAATGCGGAACTCATTTAATCTCATCAAACTTGTGGAATAGAACTTCACATTTCTGGAAACGATGTCAGCTTCAGCAACAAATTCGGAAATCGGCATACATTCGTTATTACAAGGTGCACCACCGATTCAAAATTTCCTTCTGTTCATTGAATATAACCAAAGAGAACGTTCGTTTAACAAGAGTGAAACTCTAACGCCAAATTTAGATCTTTCTGCTTGTGATCCTGATCTTTATGTATTAAGTGCACTACCATCAGACAACCCAAAAAAAAATGAATCTTGGCAATTAATACTTAATTGGAATTCGATTTTCTGGTTTTGCGACAACAAGGGATATTTAATGCATGTGCTCGATTAGTTTGCTTTATCTCAGGAATACTCATCGAATCGAACCCAGTAAAAAACGTCAAATTACAGAAGGTCTCAATTACCGGAACGAAAGTCCGTCACATTTTTTATTTTTTTTCTATTAAAGGAAAAAATCCATCCTTTTTAAGTCACCGAACGCATTTTGATGCGTCATGATTATGAACTCCGGAAAAAATAAAGTGAAACATATTCGAAAAACTGGTGTGAACAAATATTTGTGATAACAACCTATCAAATATCACAATAATTGATTTTCTGTTTGTCACACAATATTAATCAAAACAATAGAATCAAAATTCGTAAGACAGAGTATCGTACAAAACACATCGTTTTATCACATTGATACATTGATTTCAGATAAAAAGGAAACATTTTGATCCTACTAACTGAACGAAAGTTTTTACTCTTGTTTCAACTTCCACTTTTCTTAAAGAGTTTAAAGAATTCATCTTTTTTTTTTATATACCTTACTTATTGTACAACAAATTCTTGGTTGCTGGCTTCTCTGAATCATGTTTTCTGAACACTTCTCAATAAATGAAACCGAGGAAGCTTTTAAATTTCAGTTTGTAGAACCTTCTAGGTCAAAGCAAGTCCATAGGCAAAGGACAAGGAAGAAGATTTCTTCTAACGCGTGTTTCCGTTGTCGTAGAGACAAGAAAAGATGTGATGGCGACTTCACAACAGAGAAAGGTTGTTCTTATTGCGTTGAACGTGCGGTTGTTTGTGGTTTTCCTTCTCCTTCTCGTCGAAGGTCTATGAGGTCTAAGAATAATCCACAAAATTTGTGTGAAAGAATGGGAATGATTGAAAAAAAAATGGAGGAATTGAAGGAAGAATTAATGTTTGCAAGAAAAACGATGGTATCAAATGTTCTTTATCAGTTTCTCTTAAATACTCTAATGGAGGTCATAAAGCTAAGAAAATCATGTCTTTTGATTCAGAACAAACAAGATGAACAAAATTTTGATGAAAAACGTGTCGATGACAATCTTGCAAACGACCTAAGCTTACTTGAACTTGGACCTGAAGGATGGGATAACGCCTCTCTTTATTATCAAATTTGGGAAAGCTTTAATTTGTTACAACCTCACAACAATCTTACATCCACAAATACTCCAACAGCCATCTCGCCTTCCCTTCTTCCTCCACTTAGCCCTCTTGAAATTTCTTCGGACGTTTCGTCAGCTTCTACGACACGTCCTTCCACCCCTCCTCTAAACTACACCTTCATTGATCATCAAGTGGTACCACAGGACAACACCACTCAGCAAACACTCGTTGACGATTCAATTGAAACCACAAAGAAAACTCAACCGAATCAAAAAAAATCATCAAAAGGCTCAGAAAGAAACAAAGGATCAAAAAAGTCAAAAAATATCAAGAAGCATAATTCAACGAAAAGAAATAAAAGTGGCTCAGGACCCAAAGTTCTAGTTATATACCCACCTAGAAAATATGAAAATGTGATATTCAATCAAGACGAGGATAACTATAATACAACTGTCGTCGGTCCGGAGAAAACTTTTAACAACGCAGGCCCCTCTTTGTCTAATAATGTTTTAGATAACTCAAGTAACGTCCCAACAGACACTCGTTTAAACACAGAATGCAATTACCTTACTTCTCAAATGGTTGACTTTAGGAATAACACTATGCCATTCCTAAATCCAACCTTCTATTATGGTTATTATGGCCATTATGATTCAACAATCGATGTTGCCGAGATGAACTCTGAAACATTTTTCACCACGATGGACTTTGAAAACGAAATCTCATTCACGAATGATTGCGTATGGAGAAATTAATTTTGATAACAAATTTGACATACTTTTTTAATTGTACATGGAATTCATATTCGAGAGGATTCATTTTGTCTTCAATGTATTAATATCTTTATTGTATTTTATTATTATTTCTATATAGTTTAACTGCGTCTCTTTTCTATTCAGTTATTGTATAAAAGTATACATATCGATTTCTTACAAAGGCTTCATGTCAACTTTATGCGTCAATTTTATGCATTAAATTTTATGCGTCAACTTTTATGCCCAGTTTACTTTCCTTTTGAATATCGTTGAGCAATCATGTTTTTCCGATATCAAAAAAACAAATCTCAATTTCCCTCAGATAATTGTGGAAAATAAAAAAACAATACGATAGGCTAAACAGATAATATAAAATTTCATTTAACAATCAAATTTGCTTTTTTTTTTAAATGAATGGTTGATACCTTTTTGTCATACAAGTTTTTCCTTGCCCTAAACACACTCGTCACACTAAATAAAAAAAATACGCCAAATTCTGTACATATTCCCATCTCTAGATCACGGTTTAAATTAGACTTATGTATCAAGGTAATTCCTAAGCTACATTCCAATTTGCGAAACATTTTAAGAACAATGCAAATACAAACACCCCGTGCGATCCAAAATGGAAATTGAATCATGAAATTAATTTCATTTTGAGGTGAAGATTATGTGAAGTGATAATTATGGCAATTTAGCGTAAATTAAAATTTTTATGGAAGTGCGCATTAAAGTGCATTTCGTGAAACACTTTATACGTACGATTTTGAAAGTAACCACCGATCTTTATTGTTTTGTCTAGACTGTACCGAACCTGTGGACACCTTACGACACCTTTATCATATTGACCGATAACGAGCGGATGATTGGTAAAACTTTGATCATATTTGAAATTACAGATATTTTAACAGAGTTTACTTGTGGAATGCATATATTAATGTGATGAATTTCCCATTTGAATTTTTGACTTGTGTAAAAAAAAAGCTTATCTTGTGTAACGAAAATGAATTTTAAGAATACATGCTTTATCTGCCTGGATTGTTTAGAAAGTTGAATTGTAGAAATACAGTAGGAACCTTTTTAGGTAAATTATTTCTTACTTAAAATTATAATTTATATTAAGGATTATTTTATTGGCTTTGATATTTTTTATAATTTTATCAAATACAGTATGTATGCAATATTATTGATTTATTGATTTGAGATTTTTTTTTTAAAAAAAATATCACTTAATTATAATTTTTAATTTTGATAATTAAATTGCAATTTGATTACAATAATTGTAAAAATACAAAAATAATTTTTTCTTTGTCTTGATAAGTAAATAAATCTCTTTACAATTAATATCTAATTTATTAAAACAAATTCTTTATCATTATCTGTAATTAAATAAATCCTTTGATTTTTCTTATTTTAATATAAATCAAAATATCAAAAATATATTTATATTAAAACTTGTTGTTATTAAAATAATTTTATACTATACACTGTAATGTTATTGTTTAAATATAATTAATATAAAAAGAATTTTATTATTAAATTTAAATAAAAATCTTCTTTAATTTTTTTTAAAAAAAACTAGTATAAATAATATAAATATACAGTATGTAACAAAAAAAATTTTTAGTAAAAAGATATAATATTATATTTATTATTAATTAATTTTAAGTTTATTTTATTTAAATTTATGAATTTATAGAATTTGATTTTTGATTTTTGATATTATAAAAAAAAAAAGCTTTAAAATTCAAAAATTCAAAAATTTGCAAATTAAAAATTATTAAAAAAAATTTTTTTAAAAAGAAAAAAAAACTATATCTTAAATTAAAAAATTTAATTTCAAAATTTAATTTTATAAATTTTTATAAAACATTTTTATATAAAATTTTTATTATTATAATTTCTAGATTCTAAGCTTTATTTTGATATATTATTTATTAATTTTTATGCAATAGCTTTTGAATAACAAATAAATAAAAAATTTCAAAAAGTTTTATTATACATTGTATATCAAAAAACATCTAATTAAATTTTTTATAATACAATTTAATAAAATTTGCTTTTGATCAAATTCTAAATATTTTTATTTAATAGAATTAATATATTTAATTTTTAATTATTACTATCAATTTATATCAAAAAAAGTTTTTTTAATTATTTTATTAAATATTATAGTAAAAGTATTGTTAATAACTATTTTAATATATTATTAAAATAATTTAAGAAAAATAAATTTTTACAATATACTTATATTATTACAAAATATTATTACAAAATTATTTATTTATTTTAAAAACAAAATTTATTTATATATAAAATCTAAATACTTTATTAATAAATTAATAATAAATTATATACAAAAAACTTTTTTTTAATCATAACTGTTTTTTTAAAAAAATTTTTTTTATAATAATTTTGATTTAAAAAAAATGTTTTATACTCTTTATCACAAGTAAGTTTCAACTTATAAACTTAAAAATATTAAAGATAACTAATATAGTAAAATAAGACCATTGGTTAAAGTCTATTCAAATTTGAAAGTCTTATTTATTTTTTTTATTATATGAAAAAAGAAATATGTCAATATACTTTTATTTTTTTATTTTTTTGTAATTTATATTTTTTTAATATAATAAAAATTATTTTTATCAATATTATTATATTTATTAAATTTATAAACACTTTTCAAAAAACATATTCAACAAAGTTATAAGATCTTATATTTGTTTCAACTTAATTTTTATATATATTTTTCTACTGGTAACACTTACTGTATTACTTTAAAAAATTTTTAATCTTTTTTAATTACAAAAACTAAAATCTGATACCTAATAACTGTTCAATCGATAATTATTATATAATTAAAATCAAAATAATCAATTCAATTCAAACTGATTTATAATTATAATATCAATATTAATAATATTAATAATAACAATAACTATAACAAAAAAAACTCTTTTCTACA